TGCAACTTGCTGTCTTTAAAAAATATGTTTTATTAAGTCTATCAGTACCAGTATGAAAATCCTTTAAGAACAGGGAACTGTAACGGCCTTTTTTTATGTGTATGAGCAGCACCCTTCCTTGCGAGGTTGTAGCGCGTAATAGTATGCGGGAGGAGAAAATCGAGGGCGGCCGGAATCTCGGCGATACCACGCCTAAATATTTTAAATTAACTATTTGTCATATGTAAGTACTTTTTATACAAGTTGTCATATGTAAGTACTTAGTATGAAATAAAATTTTTATTAATCAATGAGTTTTTTTTTTTTTTTTTTTTTTTTAATTTGGGGGCGGCAATCTTAGGAAAGTACGCGGCCAGCCAATGGCCTAGAAGCGGCTCTCTTACTAATGAGCTTAGTCCCTCTGCCTTTAGCATAATTCCAAGACACTAAACATTTTCTATAGCCTGAAAAAGTTGAAGAAAAGCGAAGCTTTGCTAGGAAAATAAGATTACAAGGGCAAGACTATTTAACATATCGGCAAATGACTAGTTTTTTAAATTCGCGAGGCGTCGCCAAGCTGGCGATGGTTTTGGCAATTAATTTTTGTCACCAAATTTCACGAGAAACCGCCAAATGTCTCCAAATTTGGCGGCCATTTGTATTCGGTTTCCGTATAAGTGTTACTGGTACCGTAATTGAATAACGGTAATTGATCACTATATATAACTACAACCGTATTCAGCCCTTACATGTATCTTTAAACGTATATAACTTTAAGTAATTTTGAAAAATTCAAGGTATTGAAAATTCCTCGGTTACCGGAAGGAAACTATATAAGACTGCAGAGAGCATCAGTTCTCAGTTTTTAGTTCAGAGTTGACTTCGGGATACTGAAATGATGCGAGATTCGCTCTTCTTTACATGCACTTTGAATTTGAATTGTGTTTGGTTTAATGTTTTTAGTAATTTGAAGTGGTGACTACTGAATGTAATATGTATTACTAAAAAAAGCTGTAGGAGTATTTTTGAGGGAAGTTTCAGAACTGTAGATTGTTTCTTTTGTGAAAATAAATTTTATTTTATCAGCGATTCTGTGCGCATTCAATCCATTATGAACTCGTACGCACTTAATAATACATTGAATGCTTATAAATGTAATAAATTGTTCTCAATGACATACATGTGTTAAATACCAAATTTTAGAAGCATTGGGTTATCGCATAATATATCGTTTCGTGTAAGTGTCTTCACAGCTTCAAGTAAAGTATTACTTCCAGTTTATCCATTTTAGCCCAAATCTAATATGTTGTTCCTATGGATATAAAAGTCTTAAATACTAAAATTAAAATGTTTTGTATAAGAGTTTAATACAGTAGAATTTCATTAAAGACTGTTATGGGCTTCCTGTAACATCAGATTATACGATTTTATCCATAATTTAATCAAATCCTTTTGTGAACGTACAAAGTTTAAATAGGAAAACAGAAATTTTTGGAATTTTAAGAGTTATCGTGGACGAAAAAATTATGACACACAGACAGAAAAACATGATTGTAAGAATAGTCCAAATGTGTTGTACATTTTATTAACCACAGACTGTTACGTAGGCACGGGTTTCGTTAATGGACTGAATGCACACAGAAACGTTAGTAGCTTAATAAAATTTGTATTTTTGGAAAAACACTTTACAGATCTGGAACTGTCCACACAAAGGCGCTTGTACAGCTCTTCTCAGTATGACAGAACGCTGTCAATATTTACCACTTCAAGCTATGACGAACGTTAGCATTTTATGTTAAAGCACTTCATGTTACATTACACACAAGAGAAAGAAAAAAATTACTTAAAATTATTTACATGTATGCAAAATTCATAACATTGACCCCTTTGCCACGAATTTCCCAAGGTAATGCAGTAGCCTCAAATGCAGAGTGATCTCTCAATACACTGAGATAAACTCTGGCTCTCGTGGTCTTAAATAATTTTCCTCCGTCTACCAAGAAATTTCCGGCACCTTTTGTTTCCCGAAATTGCTGGAAGACTAGTAGGGGCAGTTCCAGACACATGCGGGCAGGATAAACTTACATTTATATAGGGATCGGACAAAAATGTCGACATACGGTCGCCAAGTTTGGCGACAGAAACTAGTCTTCGAGAAATTTGTCGCGATTGCCATTTACCTCAATGTTAAACGGATTTACTCGTGTAACACTGTTTTTCCAGCGAAGCTATTTTCCAGCGAATTTAATTGGCGTTTATTCACTGAAAATATTATCTCTCTCACCTATGTTTATAGTTTGGCTCTTACCTATGTTTCTGTTTGCTAATTTTAACGATTTTTTTTTACTTCTTTGTATGAAGTAAAGGAAGTATCTCAATCTCGAAAAATTTCGAGTGTCATATTTATGTCCATTTTAACAGTTCCCGAATCTATCTGATCAATGTTTTGCATGATGTTCGTTCTTACTAGCACCCTGCCTGGGCGTTTCCTCGACGTGTTGGAAGGGCGGAATAGGTGTCCTGCTTACGAGGCTGATCGCTCCCCCCCGAGCTGGCAACTCGTGACGTCCATAAGTTGGAAATGGACAGTATGGGGGAGATTAGATGAATGCGCAGGATTAGAACCATATTCCTACGGCGGTACTGTCAAGTCTGCCTCTGGCTGTGGGATCACTAGATGTTAAATGATATTAAAGATTGTCCTTGAGGGTTTCTTGCCTTCCGGATTTGCCTCCGGAAAATGAGTAACCAATATAACTATAATATATGTGGGCTACTTTGATGTCCATACTCACTACATATGTTTGCTACTATTAAATGATCAAACTGTCGAGGTGTTCTTCCCTAGCTCTTACAAAAATAAACTTGCAGATCTTCTTCGATTTAAAAAGGCGTAGTCGAAATTTTTCTTATGATTTCTTGTCCCATTAGCAATACATCTGAATTTAATAGGGTGTTTGTGAAGGAAATGCACATAAATTTGCAAATCTATTATTCTCAGACTAAGTAAAAGATGAAACCCTTTATGAAAAGCATGAAGCTTGTTAATAGCAGCTTTTTCTTAACATTTCGAAACACAATAGGTACTAGGTGAATTAAGTTTTTTTTTTTTCAATTAGAGGTTTTTTTTTTATTTTTTGGGATAGGGGTGGGAAGTAATGCTGAAATTATTGCTGGCTTTGCCAATTTTTTTAATGGTGAATTTTGTTCTTGAGCTCAGAAGTTTTCTTTTTAACATTGCTCCAAGTACTATACTATCTATAGTATTATTTAGTGCAACTCTGTTTGTTTTTAAGACTTGCTTCTCTTCCATAAAGGAAGAAGTTGCGAAACTAAGCTTAAAGCTGGAATTCAAAATGAAATTATCAAAGTTTTCTTCGGTGTATTGTATGCGAAGTACCGTAGAAACTATTCTGAGTGGCTTTAACTTACGTAAGTATGTACTAATGTATGATCTCTTAACTATTTCCAGATCAGCTATGATTATGTTTTCATGGCAAGAATCCCCATAAGGAGAATATTGTGGGTCTTTACAAAATTAGTATGCTTTCATTATCTTCCTCATGATGGTTGGTTAACTAGTCACTTTGTGTCCTAGCATATTTAAAGCGGATTTGTACTATATCCCACGAAATAACGGTTGCGATTAATATCATTGTGCAAGGAATCATAAAGTCGCATTTACAGAAAATCTTCGAAGCCTTCTTTTTGCTGTCATTGAATTTAATTGGGCAAAAATCTAGAACAAGGCCTTTTATAATAGCAATTCCATTACAGTTTTTATTTTAAATTTGTATATATTTGTACTTTTGTATATATCTAGCCTCAAAGTCATTACCCGGCCTTTATTTTCGCAATCGTTGGTCATAGTCATATATTTTCAACTACAGAAGTGTTTTAGATGAAGAAAATTTTCGCATTTTGGAATTTTCAGATTGAAAAAAATAATTTAGGACAAATATCTAAATCTAACTTTTAATGCCCTCTTCCGGTTGCACACAGAACTTATATTTGGGAAACTATACTTATATTTGGGAAAGTTTTATACTCTTTATGAAAAAAATAAAATTATAAGAAGTTTGACTCCAATACGACAAAACTTGATTGGGATATTTAATTTCAAAATTTGCGATTTTTGATGTCATTTTCAACTTGCCTTGAGGAATCGGTTAATTAAGTTAGAATAATTCGAGAAAATAAGTTTAAATGAAGTGCAGAAAAATGTGCTTGGTTTAATATACCGTAGAAGGAAGTTATGTTCTTCTACGTTATCCTTATCAGATTTTTTTTTTTTATTTCATGTTTTATGCGAATATAAGAAACTTTTGTGGAAAAACTCAGCTTTGTGTTGCCTCTGGCAAAGCCTAAAATATTTATGTTTGAAGTTTAATAAGGAAACTCAGCGATATGAAAGAAACGAGCTGCAAAACGCAAGATATTTATGCAACGTCTTTCAAATTTAATAAATGAATTCAGCGATTTAAAAGAGATTCGTTGGCACAGACCATTATAAAATATTTTTATTTTCCACGGGCCAGTTATTACCATTTGGCGAATCATAAAATTCGTCTTTCACTTTTCCTTTCTAATATTTTGGCTTCCAACATAAATATTTATTCTGTTATTAATTAACAATTAAGGGATTTGAAAGAATCAAAGAGGATTCAATCCATTTATTATTAATCACCAGCTGACCCGTGAAATTACATTAGCTGGATTCATTAAAACCACATCATATATATATTTCTTTCAAGTTATAATTTTAAGATTATTACCATTTCAGACCAGTTTTGAAGGTGATAAAATGTTTTCTACGTTTCATCAAAAAAAGAAATACTTTTTCTGTTATCTGCTAACATGACTTACACATAAAGTCTAAAATTTAATCGGCACTGAAGTGGCGCATTAAAATAAAGATTATATCCTCGAATTACTATTAAAAAAGGAACCTTTCTGTACTTGCGCTCCATATTTTCGAAAGACTATTGTTTCAAACAATGCGATAATCGCGGAGTCAGTGCGTTCTATTTGGTATCACAAAAGCGCAGTAGCATTGTCTGTATTGCATGAAGATATCGATTGGCTACAGATATCAATTTCACCTTGTCGTTTATATATCTCAGTTAGTATTGTTTCTTTCAAACTTCGCTGCATTTGTTGAAGTTTATATTTACTCTTGAGACTGCACCTTTCGTCGAATTCTATCGGGAGAAATGTTTTTATGACAAAATATTAAAATTCCGGCTGGTACATCATGGTAGTTTGAACATCTCGCTAAATGTCCTCTTGTGATCAGTTATTATATTAGTGCTCTAGTGATACTTTCATTATGCCCTTGGGTAAATTATTTCAGAAAAGAGGAAGCCGAAAGGATAAGAAGGAAGTATCCACTAAAACCGAGAATACTGCATACGAAAACCTGTCGTCTGGTGCTAAAGTGGAAACTGTAGAAGAGCAATTATCACCTGTTCAAAACGGGAAAGTAGAAGATACTCATTTACCTACTACCGAATGTGGGAAAGAAGATGTGCAACCATTGCCTGTCGAAAGATTAAGTGCAGAAGAGGCGCAACTATCAGCTGTTGAAAACGTCAGTGCGGAAGATGCTAAAATTGAATCTGTAAATCAACAACTACTATCGGTTAAGAACCAATACTCAGAAGTTATTCAGCCATCATATGTCGAGAAAGTGAATGAAGAGCTGCAACCCCCATTTGTTGAAAACATCAGTGCAAAATTTGCTAAAACTGACATTGTAAATCATCAGCTACCAATTGTTAAGAACCGCTATTCCGAATATGTTCAGGTACCATCTGTCGAGGAGGTCAATGAAGTGAAACCGCCATCTATACAGAATGTAATTGCAGAAGAAATACAAATAACAGCGAATGAAAATACCAAAGAAGAATGTAAACCGGTGATTTGTATTCCTCATAATGATAGTAATGAAGGCGATAAACCGCAAACTGAAAACGTTTTAATCCATAGACCAGAGGAAAATTTCGAAAGTTCTATTGAAACAGATACTGCGCAGCAGCTGGCAGAGGGGAGTCTAGGTGAAGTTACGAAAATTTTCCCGGTAAAAGGAAGTTCTGCAACCATCAAGTCTACTTGCAATTATGATTATGGAAAGCAGGGTAAAGATTACTGTTCCTCTGCTATAACATCTAAGGACAATCGTTGCGTAGGAGAAGAAAATGGCGGGCAAAGGGTAAGGAAGCACAAATATCGATCTGGTTCACAAGCGGAAGAAACATTAAAGACCATAGAACGAGATACAAGTAGAAGAAAATTTGGCAGTGAAAGCGAAGTTCTGAAAATCTCTGGAGATTGCGAGGACAGAATAATCCAAATGAAAGAAAAAGACTTAGAACAACTGATTAATCGTTGCGTCAACAAAATAATCAGAGGATCTATCGCGACAGCAGCTGATGGTGGTAACCTAAACAGTCTTTACAAAGCAAATGAAATGAGTTTTACAGATAGTAGAGATTCAGAAAGTTCCGAGTCGTGTGCATTGTACGTTGTTGAACAGAAGTTGCCTTGTGAGGCTCTATATGAGTATGTGGAAGAAGATTACATTTCAAATTCTGGTAGAAGTAACATTCCGCGAGACGAAGCAGATTGTCTAGGAGAAGATCATAAGGATGAAGACAGCACAGACTGTGAAGTTGAAGATATTAGAGACAATGGCCTCGATGGCTACCAAGCTGACTGCGAAGAAAACTCAAGCATTTATTCCTCAGTTTCAGATTCAAGCTTCAAGAAAGTCGAAACCCAAGAAACTGATTTGGAAAACACTACTCCCAACGACAGCCAAGAAATGACCATCAGCGAAACAAACTGTGAGCATGATAGCAATCTATCACAGGATCTCGATGTTTCAAACAGAATTCCAACTCATATAGATACTGCTGCTTCACTTCCAGAAGGAAGTAATTTACAAGAGAATAAAGGGCGAGAATCGCCTGAGTTATCTAAAACTCGAGGTAGTACGATCACAGAATCTTCTGACTTCGTTCGAACACGAGGCAGCACGATCACAGAATCTTCAGAACTCATTCTTATGTCCTTAGACGAAAATATAAGTTCTCAAAGTCTTAATAATTCCACAGACACTGGTACATCCGATAACGTTCAAGACTTCGTAGATAATCTCACAGAGCAGAATTTTTCAGAAGAAGAAAAAAAAGTAAATTGGAAAGTTGGGTACCTGCATGTCAAACTACCCCACAAGTCAAGGGGAAAAGGCCATTTAAAGGTAATGTTAAATTTCTTTTAAAACTGCTTTCTGATATACTGTATCTCCGCACATATTTTTTTTCCTTATCTGAGAGCTAGTTAATAGGTGAAACGTATTTCCTTAATTAGTTTTATTCTTATTCAGTGACTTCAATTTTGTATTTACATTTTTGTATTAGTATTTAAATCATTTTATTTTCCCTTGCATTTATTATTTGAAACACATTTTGTGAATATTCTTCTTTAAGTTACCAGGATGCAGCAGATGTTATCTCACTTAAGAAACGTTCGAAACATGTTATTTCACCTTTCTTCTGTTTTAGTATTCCAGCTCATCGTAGCCTTATCTATTGCCGATGTGTTCGACCTTACGAAATCCGGTCTTTTGGTCGCCTCCCTTCGTTTTTGTTTCTGTTATGTCCCCTTTGAGAACTGCGCTCAAGACTTATTCCCGCGAGGTGCTTCTACAACTTTAAAAGGTAACTGAGCCGAAGTGCGACGTATCCGGCTCGGTTACCATCAGATATCAGCTCAATATCCGTCAGATATTGTAACGTTAACATTACTATGTATTATTGAAATGTGGATTTCTTTAAAAAAATAATGTTGTGTAGGATTATGTGTAGTTAATTCGGGCTGCTTTTCATTTGTTACGTTCTTAGTGTAACCGCATTCTTCGGAAATTAAAAGATTCGCATAATTTTCACCTCTCCATTTTTGGATGATAAAATTAGTTAAAAGAGGGAAAATAAGAGAGGAAATACTATATTTTTAATGCTTAGCCTTAGCCATAACAACAATCCCCGTGCCATGTAATTTTACAAATATGTGCTTTTTGATTGCCTGTGAATGAATCTTGTTGAGCTAGGGAATCCATTTTCCAATGGATTTTGTAAAGCTTACTTATAAAGTAGCAAATTTTCCTTCTCTCACTGTGAAATAAATATTCATCTTAAGAGTAATGAGCAGTAAGATATATAGGTATGGATAAATACAAGTAATGTCTATATACACCTTTTATCAACAAAAGTCCTTACCCGGCTTTCATTTTTGCAACCGTAGACATATAATTCCAATTTCAGAAATACTTTAAATGACGCAAAGATTTTTGTTTTGGCATTTTTAAATTTATAGAAATCAGTTTTATAAAATTTACGAAATCTTAAATTTTTATACATTCTTTCCGTCCCTGTACTTATATTTAGGAAAAAGTTGTGCTCCTTATAAAAAATAAACTGCAAAATGTTTGACTTCCATATCTACAAAAAATGACCGAATTATTTAATTTCAGAAGTAGCGGTTTTTGTTAATATTCTCATGAAGTTTTATTACTTTAGCATCGTAATTTGGTAATTGTGCAAAGAATTCATTGCGCTACAAATATTTTTAATTTTTAATTAATGTAAATAGCATTACGAGTTGGTTGAATAGGGAAGCCTATCAGTTTTATCTACAGAATATCTATAAAATTCTGTGAATAAAATTTCCTAGTTTGAAAAATCTCTATTGATCTTATAACAATCTGCTTTAAAAAATACCTGTCAAGTGATTTTCACAAGAAACCTTTCCCTAAACTACTGGTTTATGTATTGTTACGTAGACATGAAAACAGTTTGTTTTTCAGTTTATGTACGTCCATAAATATGATACCAAATTTAATAGCAAATATCTTGGTAAATTTTTGTCGTACGGGAATCAAACGTATTGCATTTTACTTTCATAACCAGTACAAAATTTTCCTGAACTTAAGTATAAAGATCGGAAAAATATATACAAAACATTTCGTAATATTTACAAAATTGATTTATTTAAATTTAAAAATCTCAGTATTACTCTTTTCTCCATTTCAAAAATTTTTGTATCTCTCTGTCTGTATCTGTGACAGCAGTTACGAAAATAAAGACCCGGTAAGAACTTTTAAGGACACAATGTATAACTGATTGGCGTATCAGCACTGATTCAGCGATGTCAATGACTTATGCACTTTAGCCAACTTTTTGAGTAGTATGAATAAATACTTTGATAGTGTTAATCGAAAAATACAGTATTAACACCTAAGTTTGAATTCTGTATGAAATATCTCGATAAAAACTGGGTAAATATCATGAAATATAAATGCAAAATATATTTCTTGAATAAATATAATTATCTCAAGAAGTGTCTTCCAGATGTTAAAATCTAAATCTTATCGCTAAACTCTTAAAAAGCGCGTGTATCAGCTCCATTGACGTTTCTTTACATGTCACGATATCATCACAAAGTTAAGCAATCAGGTGTTAATTCTGAAAAAGGTTGTAACTCGAAATTCAGTCAGGATTTCTTATTAAAAATATGCATGTGCCTATTAATGTTATACGAGAATGTGTTTGAAGATGTAACTCATTATTTGCACTGTGTAAATGTTATTCATGACTTTTTTCACCTACTGAAATTTAGAAAGTAGCTGTAGCGTGGTCCAGCAGTTTAAGTAGATTAACCACTGAGCAAAATATGCTGAGGCTTAGGGCATCAGGGAAAAAAGGCACCAGATAAAAATACTTAGGGACTGAAGGAAAAGGACACCAAAAACGTTTACCGTTGCAATTCTACCATGGGATGTATGGTACAGCTAAACCAAGACTGATAGAGAAGAAATGGGAAAAGACAAGAGTAAATATATGTGGTTGCTGGGGGCACCAAAACATTTTAAACTTTTTTATGGCCTCTGGGACTCTTAATCCGGCCGTGTTTACAGGATGTTTCAGTTAAGCATAATATCTAAGATCGATAGCTTGTTAACATTGCAAGGCCAGACATGCCATTTTCAAGTTTTAGTGTACAGAGAAGATGCAACATGAAACAGCGAAAGAGAAACTGCTTTTTTATTTTTCAGAGAACATTTGAGAAATGCTTTAGGTTGCAGAATGTGTTCAAAGTTGCAACCATGGGTTGCAGCAATGCTTGGCATCATCGATCCAAACAAGCACATACATTTTGCAGAATTTCTGGTATATATCTCAGATTTCACAAGTGGTACTTCATAACGTTATAAGGTCCTCATAACTTACAGTGGGTTAATCTTTCGATGTAATTAAGAAGTGATTAAAATATAGTAGTACGTCTGCGGGCATCGGCAAACTTCACGAAAATGGAGTTTCCAATACTACATTGCAGTATGATTCCAAGTCTGTTCTTTGTGCAACCTTTCTCTCTCAGAAGTTCGTACGCGCTCAGTTGAATCCCTTTGCATAATCTGTGGTTTCATATAATTCCAATGGCACAATGTAATTTCAAATATTGCGCATAAAACATGCAGGAGCGCTCTTGTTAACATTCTTACGAAGGATGTTGTAATGCACACACATTTTAGTAGGTTCAGAAGCTTATCGACTCACCACTCATTTAAAACGAAGTACAAAGTATGTTAATCATTGGAAATTTCCTAAAACTTAAATAATGACTTATAATTTACTAAACTAAACTGAAAAGCGAAATTTCTTTTTTATGTTTTCTTTTTACGAAGCAAATGAGGTACTGCAATCCCGAAAATTTTTGGATATTATATTCCAGCGAAAATATCCATTTTGACCCTTCCCGGATCCATTTTGACTACTTTTTTAAGTGCGTACGGACAGAATAAAGCACTCTTATTTCCCAAACGGATTATAAAATGCATTCAAATTTGATTTTTTTCTTAATGTCTACACGTACGTACATATCTTGCATAACTCAAAAACAATTAGCTGTAGAACGTTGAAATTTTGTATATGGAACTGCTATAACATATAGATGTGCACCTACTTTTTTTATTGAAATTACAGCACTAAAAGTATATATTATTTCTTTACATTTAAAAAAAGTTAAAAATTTTATTACAGTAGAATCCAAATATCTTATACTTAAAATACTGAGTAAAATTTATTCAAACAATTCATCGCTTTAATTAAATTGACTATGTTCCTTAAAGATGATATACGAAAAACATTTTACTAATATATATATATATATATATATATATATATATATATGTGTGTGTTGTGTGTGTGTGTGTGTGTGTGTGTGTATACATATCAGGCACTTATCCGGCTTAAAAGTCCTTCCCTTGCCTTTATTTTCACAATCGTTGATCGTAGTCATACACTTCCAGTTACAAAAGATGTTTTAAATGACGAAAATTTTCATGCTTTGGAATTGTCAGATTCAAAAAAAAAAAAAAAAAAAAAAATTAATTTAGGACAAATAATGAAATCTAACTCTTAAAAGGTCTTTCGGTTGCTATACTTATATTTGGAAAATTTTTATACTTGTTATGAAAAAATAAAATTAAAAGAAATTTGACTTCCGTTCGACAAAAGTAACTGGTATTTTTAACTTCAAAATTTGCCATTTTTGTTGTTATTTTCAACTACCTAGAGGAATTGGTTACGTTAGAATAATTCGGGAAAAAAGTTTAAATGAAGTGCAGAGAAAGATGTATATAATTTAATATGTCATAGCAGAAAATATTGTGGTTTCCAAATCAGATTTTTAGAATGTAGAAAGCCTGTATACAAAAGTCTCCAGAGAGAGACAAAGAGGGAGAAGAAAATGGGATGACATAACGAAATATAAATTCAGGAAAAAATCAGGAAATTATCGAAAACTGGGGTATGAAAAAAAGAAAAAAAAAAAAAAAAAAAAAAACTGAAACTGCAAAAATTTAAAAGTTTAATCAAACGATCCCGCCTTTCAATAAACAGTTTCGTGTACTGCATTGTTTCGCAGTACTGATTCAGATTGAAACAAGGCCAGCACCTGTGCATTCCCCAAGTATCACAGAACACTATTAAGTTTCCATCCCAATTCTGAGGAAGCACACTCCGAGGGCTTTCCAAAGGTATCCCTCCTCTTCCTCTACTACATACCTCTCGAGAAGATTTCGACTGTATCCTTGCTGTACAGATACTAAGGTTTAATGGCAGTTCCACACAAAGCGAGGATATTTGCCCACAAAAACATTAATTGCTGGATGAATATTAGTAGTTTGTTTGGTTAAGTGAC